GATTCTTTACTACTGGAGCTACTATCCTTCGATCTTCTTCTGGTCACCAATGTATCGAAATCTTGGAACGACGGGTTCGAAGATAAACTCATTTGTTTCACGCTGGCGAAGCATTGCGAGCAATCCAAAAATTTCATTTTTCGTGGAGAAATTGATAATCAGTTAGAAGAATTTGCAATAGTAACCTATCGATGATATTAAACAATAGAAAGATTCGTTGTCGATTTCATTTCAAAATCAAGTGAAGATGTGACAAGCTGAAAATTTCAACGTTCGAAACTGGATTGAATCATTGTAATTGAATTTGATTGTTTGACTGTGTTATTGTGTTCGATTGCTTGATTCGATTTTTATAATCCAAATTTATAATTTTTCATGATCTCAAAATTTTACGATCATCCTATAGCAGTTACTTTCGTAGACCTGCATTTAACAAGTACTTGAGCAGATGTCGTCGGTTTAAATTCATTGTGTTTCTTTCATTTAAATGACGCCAACACTTGCTTCACATCACAGTGATCATTAAGGTTATAACCATTGAGATTGGAGGTGTATTTCCGTTTTCAATTACCGATCGATCCACTAGTTCCGGCTCGAATTATGTAATACGCTGTGTAACGAGTCGACCGGTGAAAAAAGCGGTAAATTTCCTATAGTGTCGATCAGACGTGACCATCTGCAGATTCGTGATTCAAGGTAGCATCACCGTTTCTGTATCTCAAATTGCTCGACCAACGAATCTTGCGTCATTGTTAGAACCACCTGTTGTCGCCGGTAAATCACTGTATTTTATATTTCCATGTGACATCGTTGCAAACAATTGACGGCAACACGTTCTGTTCTCGTGTCAAAGAGCGTGTCACGCGTAGGATACGAAAGTTAGACAGAAATTCGCTTTCATCGATAATTTCACACTGTAGCTCATCGAAAATGTAACTGAATAACACACGAACAGAGGTGCTAGCACACTGGACAAGGTGTATGTGAATACTGGCAGAAAGGTGGGTCAAGTAGTTTGAAAAGGAAAAAGAGGGTCGCCTTCTAGGGCGTCTTCCAGGTGAACGAAGGGGTGCGGCCGCCGTTCAAGGAACACAAATGGGGCCTATGATTATGGAAGCAGGTGCACTGTAGAGATGGCTACGATACCCTCACGAGCATGCCAATTAGTAAACATGGATGAATTGCGAATGCACTCGGATTACAAACAGCATAGTCACCGATTATTAATCAACAATTCGATTAATCAAATACGTTAGGTGTATGCAAAAGTCCTAGGATTAGAATTGTTCATATAACTGCTGTTGAAATTTTTGCTCATTGATGATAAAAGCAAATGTTATAATAAATGTTTTGATATATTGAGAACTTATTAATATATACACATAAATGTATTGGCCTCTTTATAAGTTACTCAAAATACAAATAGTATATCAAGAATATTAAGTGTATGCTAAAGTTTTCGTCTTTTTCCAGATTCTTATTATTTATTCATAATATAAGCATTGACAAATAGTAGCAGAAATAAAAGACACATATTAAGAAAATGTTAATATAAACATGAATGTTTCCTTTTTCACAAGTCACTCAAATTATAAATAATATAATCCGCAATTCATATATTGAAAATATTAAGTGTATGCAAAAGCGTTGAGCATTAGACTTATTCGTATAACTGATTTAGAAAGTTTGTTCATTAATGATAAAGGTAAATGTAATAACAAAACTCGTCGTATGAGTTATATTGTGCTTCTTATAAGTCATAGAATTAAATAATTAAACGCTGATTTAAGGAAGGATTCAGTTATTGTCAAATGTTGTGAAAAATGTTTCGGCAATCTCTATTGTCGGTTTCATCACTAAAAGTTCTGCACTCGAATATTACGTCATACAATTAAAACTGTTTTACAATTTTTACATAAAAGCAGACGTTACATCATTTTCTATCTGTTACAAAATCAAAAGCATTTGTACTTTCGTAATATTTTTATATTGCGCATATTAATAATCTATTTTAGCAAATATGCAAACATTTCTGTAAATATCGTTCGATTCTTCCGTAAAACTTGTTTAATGCATATGCAATACTGTATTACGCTTTGAATTAATGTTCAAATTGTTACAATCATAGTCAAGATTTTGTACAAAATATTTGATATTAATTATATTCTTGAAAGTGTCTCTATCAAACAA